TGGGGTACCCTACGTTCTCGGGAGGTTGCACCCCAATAACTCAGTCCTCAAACCAGTAGATGCAATTGCAAGAGGATTTAATCGCCCAGGCGGACTCCCCCTTAATCAAAAGGGGAAGTGCCGATTCAGTTTAGAAGCTAGGTTATATAGACAGAAACCACAAGACCACAAGCAGTAAGAGGCTGGTATTTAGGTCACAATAGGAGCTTGGTTACAGCAGAAATGGGAGGGGGATTTTTCAGGTATTTTTCCAGCTCTATCAAAAGAGCATGAAGAGGTCAGGTCATCTTTTTTTTTCTATAGTTAGAATTATTTTTCTTTTGCTTCCTTGTACAGTTTCCCAGAATATAGCTTGGGAAACTTAGTTTTACTTTAATCTGGGGGGCTTTAATTTATGATTCCATCACCTTCACCATATGGAGGCAGGATCTGGGTGCTCTCATGCATTCCACCCTGTCAGGCTGTCTGCTAGAATCTCAGCCTTAGCCTACCAAAGCCAGATCTGCCCTGGGGCCTTGGGATGGGCCTCACATCACAAAATCCCAGGTAGGGGGATGGTATGGCACAATTAGGGGGGGCTCTTCACCATGTGGAGGAAGGATTGAGGGGGCTGTCAGGCTGTCCCCTGGGTTCTTAGCCCCTCTGCCAGAGGGAGGCCTGAGGGAGGCCAGAGGGAGGCCAGAACTCTGCACTCTCTGGCAGTCTGCTGAGATTAGAGCCACTACACCAATGAGGTCAGAACCCACCAGCTCAGGCTCTCTGCTAGGATCCCAATCTGCCTCTTTTTCAAATCTATTTATAGCACAGGTGACCATGAATAGCACTTGGATTTCCTTGTCCTTTAGTGTTTTGTATTTATGGGCAAATTTTTGAGTTTCTTTAATTTTTTCTCCTGAAAACCATTATAGATAGATAGATAGGTAGATAGATAGATAGATAGATAGATAGATAGTAGATAGATAGATATGCAGATATGCTTTGTACTCTATGGGTTATATGCTTATTACTTTATCATGGTTTTTCCTCAGATGATAGATGATGATAGATAGATGATTGATTGATAGATAGATAGATAGATAGATAACTACTTTACCATCTCTGTATCCCTCTATATCTTTATTTGACCAAGGAACCAAAATGAAAACAAAAGTCTGAGTGATGAAAGATAGCTCTGTCATTAAGAGTTCATGCTGCTCTAGCATGAGGACTGACATTTAGATCCCAGCACCCACATCAGATGGCTCAAAAGTGCTTCTAACTCCAGCTCCAGTGGAGCCAAAGCACAGAATTTTCTGGTGTCTGTGAGCACCTGCATCCATGTGTGCATATTCCTGCCCCCCCAGACATAAATAAAAATAAAAACAAATCTTTAAAAATTCTGGACATGGTCCATCCAATAATATCATTTCACTGAACTAGAAACAATCTTATCTCTTATTATTTCTTCAGTTAGAGTTCAAAGAAGTGGATTTCATCATAGTGTCATATATATCATACATTACATATTATAAATATATATTTTATATAACATTATAAGGTCTTTCTTATTCACCCTTCCCACACCCCGACTCATCTCCCTTTCTCCCTTTGCTGATCTCTTTTCTCTTTCCAAATAATGCTGCTTTCTGCTTTCTTGTCATCTCTACTTCAGAAAAACAGTCCTGACCAAAGCATACTGAATTCGTTAGAGCCAACGAAAGGGAAACCTTCCCACCTGTCCTTGCTCTAGAACCTCATGCTGGATTCTGTGTAACTGCATGCTTATCATTATATTTCTTGCAAGTTCTCCTTTCAAAGCCTTAATTTTTAATTATGTGTATATGTGCTTGCCTACATGAGTTTATGTGTACCACATGTACCCTGGAGTTCACAGGGGTCAGAAAAGGGCTTCAGGGTTTTTGGAACCAAGTTCTAGACTGTTGTTGTGAACATTCATGTGGTTAGTGGAAACCAAACCTGGGTGTGTACTTGACTACTGAATCATCTCTCCAGCCCCTTATATTTAAAAAAATCTTAATATATCAAATACCCATCTTCTTATTAAATTCATTAATACAATTTGAATGAAAATTAATCGTCAATAAGTTCACCTATTTTTATCTTTCTAGCATGTTTCTTATTCATTTTTTTTCTTAATTTTAGTTTATTTTTTTTGTTTTTGTTTTTGAGACAGGGTCTCATTGTAGCCACAGGTGGCCTGGAACTGGCTACGGAGATCAAGCTGGCCTCAGTCTCACAGAGATCTGCCAGTATCTGTTGCCTGAGTGTTTGGATTGAAGCCTGTGAAACCATGCCTGGCCTCTTATTCTGTTTTTAAAGAAAGCAAACTAATGCATTCTTATTCCAAAATTGGTTTCCAATATCTCCTAAAATTCTTTTTTTTAATGGCTGGTCAGTTAATCAAACATCCTCCATAGCGACCTAATTTTAATAGAAATGCCTTTAACTTAAAGTCTTAATTTATATTTAAAGATGGCAATTAGCTGATTCTTGCCCCTTTAGAATTTTTGTGACAAATACGTTGTTATAATATGACTCACATGCAACCCTATTCTCTACTCATAAAGTTTATTAATGGAATACTTGTGACATATTAAATTTTAGTGCCAGTAATTCATTGAAGACACTCATTAATCTTTGATAAAGTCATCTGCTGGCCTTTAATAATCATCTCTCTAGACATTACATAATTCATCTCTACCCTTAGCTCTATCAGTGACAGTGGCTCAACTAAAAACCTTTTGTTGAAGTTTACATTGATTTCTCTGTTTGCTAGTGGTCATAGCATTGAGTTCCTGGGGAAAACTGACTTCCTCACACATTAATGCTGTTGATAAAGAATCAGAGTTCAAACCCGGATATATAACTATCAGTCATCAGATGAAATAGATGAAATTCACCCCCTCATTCCTCAACTCAAATTTTCCTTCTATTTTCAAAACATATTTTCATTGTTTTAGGAAAGAATTACCCAGTTTTCTCCACTGAAACTGGTTGAACTCTTCATCGAAACATTCCTGTCCTATCTCCTACCTCAGGCAAGCATTCATTCTGAAACAATGGAGAGTAAAGTCTGGCGGGCATTGTGTTTGATTTAACAACTGCCCCCTACACCTGATGAATTCTCTTCACTGAAGTGCACAAGGAGGAAAGTAGTTTAGAGATGAATATTTTATAAGTAACCAATGTTAACATTATTTTGAAGGTTGGTTAGTTTCTTTGTGTATCATCATCTCAGAAGTTTCTTGAATAGCCAGTAACTGAGGAAGGGAGGTGTGAGCCTGGGGACACTAAAGGGAGAAATTTCACAAGCACGGAAAATACTATGTTGAAAACATACCACATAGATTGAACAGCTAAATAGATGCATGAGATAATGGAGCTCTCTCTTAAGATCAGACAAAGGTTTTACAGCCATGTCAATGTGGAAGGCTAGTCAGACTGAGATCTTGGACAAGAACTGCACCATATATAGTCTCAGCTCTCACCTTGACACACTTGGGTAGAGGACACCTCAGTTGAGGAATTGCTTCTTTGAACTGTCCTGTGGGCATGTCTATGAAGAATTTTCTTGATTTTTCACTGATGTGGGAGGGCCCAGCCCACTCTGGGTGGTGCCACCCCTAACCTGGAGGACCTGGGTTGAATAAGAATGCAAGCTGAGCACAGGCCAGGAGAGTAAGCCAGTAATCAGTGTTCCTCCATTGTCTCTGCTTCAGATCATGAGTCCAGGTTCCTGCCCTGAGTTCCTGCTCTGACTTCCTTTAATGCTGAACTGTGACATGGGAGATACAAGATAAACACTTTCCTCCCAAAGTTGATTTTGGTGAGTGTTCATTACGGCAATAGAAAATAATGAACACAATGGGCAAATTCATTTTAAAAATTGTATTATTCAGATAAAAGTAGATAAATGCACCCAATTACTGTGCTAAAGGGTCTTCAGTATCAAGTCAACTGCATTGAGAATCATCCATATGACTTTTGATGATATCCGTGAAAGGAGTTACAGAAAGGATTAACTGGAGAGGGAAGTTTCACATTAAAACTGGGTGGCAACATCCCAAGTCCTGGGGGCTAATCTAGCTGACCGCTAGTATTTTCTTTTCTCTATTTTCTAGTTAGATGCCAGGCCTTCCCACCATGCTGGCTTACAATTCTCTGAAATGTGAACCTAAATAAACCATTCCTCCCTGAAGTTACTTTTTATTTGAAAAATTGTATTATGAATGCTTTTTGTTTTTTTTTTTGTTTTGCTATGCTAAGGTGGGGATTAGATCAATGGCCTCAAATATGCTAGGTAAGTTTCTTTTCATTGAACTGTATCTTCCTTCCTTAAGCTAAATTTGTCATGTATTTAATTGGTCCTATTGATGAGAAAAGAAACTAAAACAGAAAGCGGGTAACAAGGAGTGGGTGCTGCTGTAATAAACATGATCACATGGTTGATAACTTGGAACTGGTCTACAGGAGGAATATGGAAGAGTTTGGACCTAGAAAAGCTCTAGAATGCTATAAGTAGAGCTTAGTGGGCCAGTCCATAGAAGTTGGACCAGAAGAAGAGGATACCAGTAGAAACACAAACGTTAACACTGTGCTCATGGTGGTGACGAGAGGAACAAGCATTTTGTCAGGAAGTGGACTAGAAGCCATTCATATTGAATTCTGGGAAAGAATCCGACTGCATTTTACTCTTGTCTTGAGAAAGTGAGTGAAGCTAAATTCAAATATAATGGACTAAGGGTTTAGTAGAAGATACTTCAAGACAACATGACCTTCTGACGTGCTGCTGTTCACTGCACTTGCAGACAGGGCAGGTGCAGAGGAAGCACCAATAATCTTTAAATAAATAAATAAATAAATAAATACCATTAAACAGAACCCTCACACTCTGTGCTGGAACTATAGGCAAGGCACCCTGAATGTAAGACTCCAACCACAGAAGACTGAAACTTGTAGAAATGCAAATTCTTTGGAAAGGAGAATGTCTGAACTGGGTATGCGCATGCAGGGGTTACCTGCTAAAAGCTGGCAATTTAGGGACGTGTTTTCCTTCAGTCAGTGGCAAAGGCACCCAGAGACCACAGCATCTATGAACAAATATTCATCTACAACTTGATATTGCAGCAGGATGTGATATCATCCATATAATTCTGATCTTTCAGATATGCAGAATATGTGGGTAGGTGAATGATAAAGTCATCAACCACAGGCTTCCCTATGAACATTCATAGGTACATGCACAAATATACAAAGACACACACAGAGACCTACATACAGAGACCAAACACACATACATAGAGACACATTATACAGGCACAGACACAGAAAGACAGACAGACAGACAGACACACACACACAATAATTAAATCTTCCAGATCTATTGAGAATGCAAATAGGAAAGCTAAGGCACTAGGTAATTTGTCCTGGATCTGTAGCTAAGGGGGCTGTGAAGAATATATATATAGATTTTCAAATAAGGATGAAATTAGAAACAACTAAAGGGAAGCATGAATATTGATGAAAAGTTTTGCACCCATTTGGTATTCTGGGTATCAATCAAGTTTCTGCTGTTGGGAAAGTCATATTCTACACATCTACACAATAATTGAGGAATATGGAGTTGGTTAAATTTTGAAGATGTTGCTTTTTTAATGTTTTATCCAGAGAGAAGTAACACAAAATTTTAGTTCCTATGTCTGTCTTGGAACAAAATTATCACAGAAAACAACTTTGAATATCAATATAGTTATTATCTAACACAAATAAGGCAAATGTTTGATTAAAAGCACCCTTTATTTCATAGATACAGTTGATGTTAGCTTGCTTCCCATTTTGTGGTTCAAAACAGAATCAATGAGAACAAAATAAGTAGAGGTTTATTAAGCCAACTCAACTGTTATACCCACAAAAGATCAAACAACTCAGAATGTTTCAAATTAAAGAGAACTGAGAAGCTAATCGAACAGCTTGGACAATGCATAAGATACAATGCTCTCTGCTCTCAGGTTTGATTCTGTTAGACCAGAATTTTTAATCCATAGTTGTATTAGTCACTTTCCTGTTGGTGTGATAAAACACCATGACTACCAGGTGTCGTGGCACACATTTTTAATCCTGGCACTCAGGAGGCAGAGGCAAGTGGATCTCCATGAGACAGAGGCCAGCCTGGTCTATGTAGGGAGCACAGGCAAGTTTGGGCTACAGGGAGGCCCTATCTCAAACCAAAACTCTAAACAAACAAACAAAAAATCATGACGAAGCCACCTTATAGAAGAGTTGATTTGGCTATAGGGAGAATCCATACTGGCGGGTGTAGGTGTGGCAGGAGGTGGCCAGAGCAGGAAGTTGAGAGCTCATCTTCAAGCATGAACACAAAGCCCAGAGAGAAACTGAATCTGTACAAGGCTGTAAACTCTCAGCATCCACCATCCAGTGACATGCCTCCTTCAGCAAGGCCACACCTCTGAAAGGTTCTCCAACCATCCCAAACAGTACCATCAAATAACCAAGTGTACAAATACTTGAGCCTATGCGGGATACTTCTCATTCAAACCATCACAATAGTGGAATCAATGGCTTAAAATAGATTCAATTATCTGTTAGAAAATTATTCTTACTCCAAACTTAACTAACTTTACCATAAAATGGCATTCTTTACAATTCCAAAATATTGATTAAAAACTTCCTGGTCTTGGTCAGTCTTTCAAGTAACCTAATAGAAGGGAAAAGAAAAGGTATGAAACATTAAATTTACTCACTATGCATTTATAGATCACATCAACAGATGCCATGAACGTAGTGCCTTTTAAACATCTTCTTTGTTTTTGCCTGTATACTGGAGATGTTAATATATCTTGCCGTATGTATTCATTTTCACCCCCTTCCACACAGTTTTTTCAGGAAGTGTACTCAGTCTTATTTCTAAATAGGACAAGGGAAAGAGAATTTGCACGAAGTGTGCCCTGGTTTCTATTTTTATGCCCTAAAAGATAAAAGAGTTTGGAGTATTTTAGAATAGTAAGGAATGAAGGCAGGTGTTCCCATCAGAGGAGCCAAAATGCCTCAGACACAAAGGGAAGAGACTTAAGAGTGGTTGGTATAGGACATCAAGTCTGTTGTCTGGCAGCCCCAGGATCCTTCAAGAGTTCCCTAGTGAAATCATGGAAAATTCAGAGGCTTGGGTAATTCCTTTAGGCATAAGAGAGAGGGCACAAGTCTCAGTGCTCTCTAGCAGGTCCTAAAAAGAGCCCTAGGACCATGATACACCCCAGGGAGAAGATTGCATGTTCAGTGAAATGCAAGTTATATACTTCAACAGTGTTGTGTCTTGAAATAAAGATTAAATAACTTTAGAAAACAAAAATTCCGTGTCAATTTCAGAAATGTGATATATCATATGTTATAGTTGTTATTATTTGTTTTCACAAGATGAATTTTTATTTTTTAGTATTTCAAATTTTCATGATTAAAGTAATTTTTGAAAAAAAAAAAAGAAGCACATGGGATTGGAGAGATGGCTCAGCAGTTAAGAGCACTGGCTGATCTTGCAGAGGACCGGGGTTTGATTCCCAGCACCAACACGGTGACTAACAACAATCTGAGGTTCCAGTTCTGGAGATCCAACACCCTGTTTTGTCCTCCGCAGGAAGTGCATGACACAAGTGCACTTACATACACACAGGCATAACACTCACACACATAAAATAAAAAGAAATAAATTAAATAGAAGCACATTTTCTACTGTAACCTGAACTTCAAGATTAATGTCTTTAAGATCTGTTTGTTTTTTCAGCTTAGGAGCAATAAATCAGGTCAGAAGTTAGAAATACAAGGTCACCATTAGCTCAGGAGTGTATGCTATTCTTATGAAGTTTGAAATAACCTCATGAACATCTCTATAAAAATAATCCAATAAACACACAAGTAAAAACCAGGTCTTCCCACATAAAGACAATTGGTCTTTAATTGGTGTCCATCCGAACTTTTCTATTGAGTTCACAACCTCCAAAATGTTGGAACACTTTTGTGTCAAATTCTTAACAAGTGTTAACTGTAGTTCATCTAGTAAGAATAAATTTCACTTCGTGAATTATTTTTATTTTGCTTTGTGTTACCTTTATATTTTTTCATTCTTAGAATAATTTTCTTTGATTTCACAGTCTAAATGACACAAAGCCTGTTGCTTCTGTCTTCAAAGTTATTAAATCAGTCCCTATGAAAGCAGTAACAAGTAACAAAATGCAACACACACAAACACACACACACACACATACACACAAACCTATAACATATTTAATACCACACTCAAATAACAACCATGTTTTCAAGGGAAAAATGAATGATGCAAGCATGCACAAATAAAACATTTAAAGGGGAATAAAAATCACCTCCTTATCTTTTAATAAGATATTTCTTCTCTACATAATGGTTTAATGGCAATCTCTGAATTTTTCCCATGTAGCACAATTAGTCTCTAGACTATTTTATTCATACCACATATATTTACTAAATTTTTGTGTATTTCATACAATTCATCTTAGTCATAACTAGA